GGTGGGTGTGGCCAAGGTGGGCATGGCCACCTCAATGTTGCTCATGGGGAAGGATGCCTGTGGGGACTGGGCAGGGTTGGGGGAGATCCAGAGGGTCTCTGTCAGGTGGGACAGTAGGCAGGAGGCTCATCCTGCACATGAGATGAGGTGAGGCGAGGCAGGGCGGGGGTGCCACTGTGCAGAGCAAGGCGAGGCAGGGGCTGGAGTGGCTGCTGCCTGACACCATCAGCCTCCGCACACAGGCCAGCGAGCGCATGGGGGCTGACAGTGTCTGTCAGCAGCCACAGCCTGCCGGCCCCTCGACTGGTGCACTCTGGGGCTCCGCAGCCCACTGCCAGCAGTTCAGAGAAGCTGTCTCTCAGCTGGATGGACGGCCGACAGCTAAGGAGGTGATGCAGGGTCATGTCTGGGAAAAAGAGCATGCAAGGCCAAGAGGGATGGGATGGGGTGAGGGAAACCAGCCGGGCTGGGATGCATCCAGCCATGTCGGACCTGAGCAAGTTAGCAGGGGGCTGGTTTAAGAGGGATGGTTGCCATCTCCGGAGCATGATGCACGTGCCCACAGAGAGGGCTCTGACTGCCGCCTCTGGTACGCGTGCCATAGGTTCGCCACCACTGCACTAGAACAATCAATTCTAGGTGGGCTTTTGACAAAAAGGTCCTCTGATAAGATAGTACCATATTCAAATCTTACTTTTGAACATATTACTTTACTAGCATAATGGGTGTATCTCAGGGTGTATCTCAAAAAGCTAAGCACATAGGACCTGTTTAGAAATTGGATTGGAGGATTCCCATGACTATAGGCTATCATCAGATCTCAAACAACATTTCAGAAGAAGGCAATAGTAAACCACACATACATTTTTGCCAAGAAAAGTACATGCATCTGTCCAAAAAATCACCATGAGTTGAAGTCAGCTTGAAGGACAATGCATTTTATAATACAACATAACAATGCATTACAGTACAAAACTGTTGACGGGAGAAAAAAAAAGGATTGAATTGAAATGATATATGTCATGAATTTCATACAGGAAACAAGAGATAAAGGGTAAGCAGCTGTATCTTCACCGACATATAAGTGCAGCAAATTATTTTACCATAACCAAAGTATTCTGTGAAGTTTTGATACATCTTTCTTTGTTTAACCCAGTGATTCTCAACCTTTCTAATGCCGTGACCCTCTTATACAGTTTCCCATGTTGTGGTGACCCCCAAGTGGGTGTGGCCACCAATAAGAGGGGTTAGGACAGCTAGGGAAAAGGGAAAAAAATGGTGGACAGCATGGTTTGGCGACCCCCGTGAAATGGTCATTCGACCCCAAATGGGGTCCCGACCCACAGGTTGAGAACCACTGGTTTAACCAAACATACTTACCGTATTTTCCGGTGTATAAGACGACTTTCTAAACCCTGAAAATCTTCTCAAAAGTCGGGGGTCATCTTATATGCCGGAATATATGGGTAGCTGTTCTCTGAATTTAAAACCAATCTGCCCCCTAGTGGCCAGCCCTATTTTATTTTTACAGAAATAAGCACTAACAGGACAAAGCTTTCTAGCAGCAAAGGAATGGAGCTCCTATTGTGCTCATCTATAAACAGAAATTCAATATTGTACTGTATTTTCTGGCGTATAAGACGACTTTCTAAACCCTGAAAATCTTCTCAAAAGTTGGGGGTCGTCTTATCTCCCAGTTGCCTTATACGCCGGAATATACAGTAGATAATAAACTATCAAGTTGATTAAAGGCATATTATAATAGTAATGATATATTTAAAAACTTTCTGTTAATTTGGTACTGGTGTAACTGCTTTCAAAAGTAGTTTGAAAGGGTGCAGAAGAGACCCTATTTGCATGCTTACAATGTAAGCTTTCCCTATAATTTTTTTTCTGATCCCAAAATCAGCCAATTCCTGCATCTGTATCTATTATAAGACAAAGGCATAGCTTTTTTCCCTCTAAAACAGAAACATGAAGTTTACCATTAGAGTATTTTTAGCTGAGATGAATTTCAGCCTTACATAACTCATTTTCATGCAGCTTTGCGTGTTGCTCACTTTTTACATAACTTGTTGAAGGCAACTTGTCAATTACAGAATTTCTTCTGTCAGTGGGCATAAAAGGAGCACTTTCCCACTGCAACCCTTTACCATGCTTGCTGAAAATCTGGTAGACTTCTCTAAATAATAATAATAATAATAATAATAATAATAATAATAATAGTAGTAGTAGTAGTAGTAGTAATAGTAGTAGTAGTAGTAGTAGTAGTAGTAGTAGTAGTAGTAATAGGCGCCTTGGGTGCAATTCCAAAACAATTGGAGCACCACTTGAATACCATTAGTCAAATTCTCCATTAGTCAATTGCAAAAGGCAGCTTACTAGTAACTGCTTCCATCTTGCGATGATACCTGTAATACCATCAAACATCCACATCTGCCTATCCCAGCTCCTTGGTAAGGACTTGATAGGTAGACAAAAATGCCAAATCCAGCCTGAACATCTGGCTGACTATGCGATGATCAATAACAACAACAACAACAACAACAACAACAACAACAACAACAATAATAATAATAATAATAATAATAATAAAGTTGGAAGGGACCTTTGAGGTCATCTAGTCCAACCCCCTGCTCAGGCAGGAAACCCTATACCATTTCAGACAAATGGCTGTCCAGCCTCTTCTTAAAAACTCCCAGTGTTGGAGCATCCACAACTTCTGGAGGCAGATTTTTCCAATGATTAATTGTGGAACCTAAATTCTCATAGATTGTTTTGGCAACAGAGTGGCTATTGGTGAAAAAAGAATAGTTATTTCTTGATTCTGCTGGGGAAAAAAAGAAATGCAAAAATAGCACTGAATTCCTTTGGGTGTCATTTGTGGGTACTCTTCCTAGGCTGCTTGATATTTTACAGTGATGTATTCCTTTGCTAATTCCCACTTCACTCTAGCTTCACCTCATCTCCAGTTTTTCAGCCACTATCCAGGGAATTACTGCTTGTAGCACCATGCGACTGTTTCTTCTTCAATTCTAAGCCAGGATTAAGCAGTTCACCGCAGAGAAATAGGAGAATAAGAACGAAGGCCTAACCTGCCAGCCATCAGATTTTCCATTAACACTTGCTCCTTGTTTCTTTCACAAGCCAAAGATGCTGATTGATCACCTACACCATTAAGCAGTATCTACAAGTTTAAAAATTATTAAACAGAGATCCGTTTTACAACTTTTCAAACATTTCAAGAGCAAAATAAATTGTTGCTATAATTTATTATTCCTGGTCTTTCTCAATGGCTGTGGTCATGTAGCATGACTGATAGAATCAGCCCTCTCCACATTCAATAGGCTGATTGTGGTTGCCTAGAATCATATGAGCAATATGACAAAGCCAAAAACTCAGGCAACTAAAGTGTAACCATTTTCCATGTCCTCCAATTACTTCTAAGGAGATTAGGAGGTTCTTATATCCTGTCTTGTTTCTTCCAACATCCTCCCCCCGCCCAAAACCACTCCCTTTAATAGTTTGACAGGGTCAGCATTACTGCAAACAGAACTTTTCATTCACATTCTTCTCATTCAAACTACTACAGGTACTACTCTTCATTTAGTGATTACAATTGGGACTGGTAACTCAGTTATTAAGTGAAAGTTATGATCTTACTTTAGTTTTCCTTTGCTTTACAGACCTATGAAGGTCATAAATGCAAGGATTAGTTGTACAGCTACTTTTTCATTACCATCATAACTATGGATGCTTATTGAACAAGTTCAAGTTGGAAGTTCAAGCTGGGACAGAGGAGAGTAGGAGCATATATTTCAGAGTTTTAAGTTATTCACTAGTGATGTAGAGTAGAATAACTTAGCACTAATTGAGCACTTCAGAGAAAGGCTGGTTAATGAACTGACAGACAAGCTTGTGAGGCAAGGAACCCAAAATACCCTGGATGAGCTTTTTCTACATTGTGTAAGTATGGATGGCCAGCTGGAAGAATTCAGATAAGGGAGAAACCCAATCTAGCATGGGAGAACAGCCAGGGGGAGAACCAAAGAAAAAGGGAGCATGGACTATGCTATTACTGTGGGGCCCGTGGACACATAGCTAGATCATGCCCAATAAAAACAGCAGTGATAGTCACAATAATAAGATGCAGAACTTGTAAATCAATGGAATACAAAGCCTGCAAATGACTAGTTCACTCCCAGACAGCGGCTGAGGAAAACCTCACCATTCTCCCCTCTCCAGAGCTCCAAAAGGAGGCCATCCACCATTTGAAGAGAACCAAGAACATTAAGTAAGCAAGCATATTTAATTATTTCTATTATTGTTACTTCAGATTCTGGGCAGAAAGTAGAACTTTCTGCTCTTGTAGACGCTGGTAAAAACGTAAAGCATTTTACTCCGGTAATCATTGCCAATTATAGGGGCTGGTGCTCATCTCCATTTCAAGGCCATTGAGCCAGTGCTGTCCGAAGACATATCCATAGTCATGTGACCAGCATGATGTCATGGAGTGCTGTTACCTTCCCACCGAAGTGGCACCTATTTATCTACTTGCATTTGTATGCTTTACAATTGCTAGGTTGGCAGGAACTGGAGCGAGGATAGGACCGTCACACGAAGCTTGGGTCTCAAACTTGAGCTGTCAGCTTTCCAGCTGACAAGCTCAGTGTCTTAACCACTGAGCCATCCTAAACTAGTTCCCTATTCAAGCCCTAGACTGCCCAATGACTGTAGAAACTGGCAGTTGCTAAAGGCAAGACTGGTCCTACACCACGTAGTTCCTTTGCAAATGACAATCAAAAATTATACAGAACACATATCACTTTATGTAATTGCTTCCTCCATTACAGTGCTAGTTCCATAGTTTCATTTTTGGTTAGGAGAAAAGCAGTTCTAAAAAGCATTTAAGCTGGTCAGGATGCTTTCAGAAAACACACTTCAGATTTAATCCCAAACTCAGATATGATTTCTAGAAACATGAAAAAGAATTAACTTACAATAAAATTATGGACAATTGGAAAAGAAACAATCCTCTTCACTCCATTTTCAGTTGTTACTCCAAGCCAATTAAGCACAGCCCAGGACCAAAGATAGCTGTGGCTTCCATGCCAGTAGCTTACAAAAGCAAATGTGATGGCAGTCGAAAGCACCATCTTAAACATGCTGCAATGAGATCCTCCCATTGGGACGTAAATATACCTGCCAGAGAAATTAAAAATAGAAGTAATTAGGACTTCATTGAAAACCTGGAAGATACAAGCTTTCCAAGAGTTGCTTGTTTTTATTAATGATAAAGTTTTGTCTTGACTAATTATATTTGCTATCCACTGTAGTTTCTCAGGCAGAGAGGATCATAACATTTTTAACAAATGTAAAAACATTTTTTCCTGCAGAAGATGTGCCACCAAATTCATGCCTTATATCATTTTCAGTGGACCCACAACTGATCTGTGAACTATTTGTTTCTTGTTTGGAAAAGTGGAGGTAAAATCCAATCTTTGTTTTTATGAGAAAAGTTCTTTTTAAGTATACTTTCTTATTTTCAATGAAGATTTACACTCAGCAGCCACTTTTTCTTGTTTGCTGGTAATTTCTGCCTGTTTTCCAACACCTCTCTCCCTCTTCTCTACAGCATCCTTTGCATGAATATTCCAACGAAAATTAATTCTTTTATCCAAGTCCTAGAAATTACACAATCTCTTTTATTACAAATAATTCAAACAGTTTTTAAATGGATTTTTAAAAATATTATTTTTTCATTAGTGCGGTATATATACTTCAGATTTGGACTAGATTATGAAAATGCAGAATTAAGAGTTTTCTCTTTCTGTAACTAATCAAGGATCCTGATAACATGGCATTCTACATTTTCTTAGTCTTAAAACAAATTGGCAAGAAGAATGGCAAAAGTGGGATAACTATGTAGCACAATGACTATAGGATACAGGGAAAGTTAAAAAGAGTGAAATAGTGACACAAGACTACTGTATTTGCAATGCACACTCCTTTTTTTTTAGAGTAGGAAATTAACCATATTTATATTTACAGAAAGAAGATACAAGTCCAACTATATGAAACACCCTACCAAACATCAAAAACATTTCGGAAGCAGTGGAACACAGCTTCCAAGATCTGCAAGTGGGCATCACACACCGCCCAGAAGCTACCATAAGAGGACAAATCATGCATTGCAAAGATCGCTTGGAGATGGGAGATACTTCTAAAGTAATCTACCAGATCCCCTGCATGGATTGCCCATGACATGTAGGACAGATGGGGAGGAAGCTAACCATCAGATTGCAAGCGAGTGGCCATATAAGGAGATCCAGTCTCATTGGTAACCTCACATTGCAATGAAAAGAACTTACATTCAATTTTGCAGCTACTAAGATTGTTGGCTGAGCAGGTACAAAGTTAGCCAGGGAAATGATTGAAGCCTGGGAAAGGGGCCTTTGTCTGTCAACAGGAGTGCTGATTTACCACCAGCTTACAAGATACTTAGGAGCCGAGCACTTGGTAGCACAAGGAAAAAACAGCCAAGGACTTAATAGCCAGCCATCAATATCAACAAATCAACAAATAAAAAGCCACACACAACCAGGCACCACATAAATACTACACATAGAATAGTCCAAAGCACATATTCTGGTATAGAGAAGTTTCCTGAGGATGGGCTCCAGTATGAGTCTGAAAGCTCAGCACACTAAATCTCTGGCCCTCGTCCCTGACCCAGACTGGATCCTGCAATATTATCCTGGGACACGTATATTTGCCTTCATTCATGAAAATAGTTTTTTAAAAGCGGAGCAGATAGTCTGGTCAGCAGCAAGAAAGATATCCATGAAGACATTGGCATAAATGGTTGCCTACATATTGTAATGGTGCTCAGGTCAATTATTTACAAAATCCTTTTTTAAACAATTGTAGATATATCTTTTCAAGGCCATATATTAGTATTTTTCCCTCCACAGTACTGGGAGGCAGATATAATAAGATTCTATACCTAGAAAGACTCTGTCAGTGTGGAAAGTGGGAAGTAGAATCAATAGCTCACATGTTTCTAAGCTGCCTATTCTGTGAGCAAGTCAGGCACTGAAGTAAAACTCCCTATATTAAAAGGTATAAAGGGCAGTCTACAGAACTTTTTCTTTACCCGTTAATAATGCACCACAAGTTGCAAGTTTTGTTCTGAAGCCATACAGCAAGCTTACCAAGGCAAAATGCTATCTTTTGTCTCACTTTAATGTTATATACTATAAAGTTGTTTACTTCCTCCATTTTATTTCTTCTATTTTATTCATATATGCACCCAAAGACTGTAAAGTAGCAAACAGAGTATATATCTTTTATAAAGAATGTTTTATGGCTTTAGTTAACTAAATCAGCTCATCAGATTTTATGTCTAAAAAAATTTTGCTATCTTAAATCTACATAAATTATCTATGCTGTATGTAAATGGATATTTTGCTGTATTTTTCTCTTTCTACTGGTTACTTAGCTGTAATAAATTTTGTTATGTTGTGTTCCTACTCCTGAGTCAAAAATAAAGTATGAACATCAAGCTCTCCCACTGATGATCCAGTTAATTTTTTCTCAAACTTAGGAAGGACAGCTCCTTCTTGAAGTATGATTACATATTTGAAAAGTAAATATGCTAAATGTTATGCATTTTTGCATCAGTATAGGGATTTCAAGCCCGCTAAGGTTAATGGAAGTTTTTAATGCTGCAAGCGCTAGCTAGTAGAGTAAATCCCTCAGAAACAATCTTGGTTCTTAAATGATCATTCATGTTCATTATTTTCCATGAAAAACATATTCTAACGATAGCAAGAATTAGCCTGCTTAACATCAGAGAACAGCACTGCTATTAGTGCACTGATGAAACTATACCTGGGAATAGGCTAAAAATGACAGCTTTAATTAAAAACTGTATTTTCAATTATAGTCCAGTTTATATGTCATTGACTAGTGACTTCTCAGAGGAAAAAGGATCCATTTTCAGACTTTTTACTGTCTAATATAAGTAGTTGGTTAATTGTGCAGGCTTAATTTTATTTTGTTTAAAAATGTAGAGGTGAATCCTTAGGGGGAGGTGGGTAAATTACTGCCAAGAGCCACATGATAAATGCCATTACACTGAAAATAAAGACTGATAAAGGACTGGATCCAGTCTAAAGACACTGAAAGCAAATTTTGCATAACTTGTGCAGAGTTAATTGAGTAAACCTAGCTACAGATTTAAACTTAATAGTTCTTACCCAAGTTATCAAAACAATGCACATTTTTCTGTCAACAAATGGTATATACATGATATAGTCTAGAAGCTAAAGTAGGTTCACACATAAATTCAGCAAATCAGAGTCACAATATTTGCAATATAATTCCACATATTACATTGAACCTTTTTGGGAGATATGATATAATTCTGTTCATATTTTTTATTTATTTATAAAAATCATACTAGTCATAATTATAGTGTATATACTTGTAAATTTATATTTCCTATTAAACACACACATACAGTATATGTATTCTTCATACGAACTTCACTGAAAGGACAAATTTATTTTGAAATCTAATATTATGACTGCTAACATTTAAAAATACAAGCCAATTCTTCCAAGTGTTGTGATGACAGAGTATGTGTGATATTGTAAAAAATGGTATGGTAAATACAGTAATTGAACTATAATGATTCATAATGTATATTGTTTTATCACTTTCTGTATAAATGTACACATATATATACCCATACCCACATATTCTTTGACTAATTATGTGTCATCCACTCTACATGTTCACTCTTACTGATTTTCTCCATGATGATTTGTCCCTAACCTTCCATTGGTCTTCCAATGATGCCCTCATAGCCTCTGTAACCAAGTCCACCAACTTTGCTGCTGGTCACCCATTTCTCTTTCTGGCCACCTTTCCTGGGATTAGAGCCTTCTCTAAGGAGCCAGGTCTTCACATAATGTGTATAAAACCTACATATTTGTATTTATCTAAATAAAAACCATGATGCCAATTTAAAATGTAATTGTAATGCCTGTTTTAGGGACACAAAAATAATAAGCATTTTAAAGTGTTAATTGAAAATGAGACTAGAATTTGTCCCGATTGCCTATACCAGGGATAGGCAACCTTGGCTCTTTTATGACTCGTGGACTTCAACTCCCAGAATTCCTGAGCCATGCTGAGGGGGAAGGAAGAGTTTCAAAGCTGAGCCAAGCTGGCTCAGGAATTCTGGGAGCTGAAGTCCACGAGTCATGAAGAGGCTATAGTTCCCCCATGCTGGCTCAGGAATTCTGGGAGTTGAAGTCCATGAGTCATGAAGAGGCTATAGTTCCCCCATGCTGGCTCAGGAATTCTGGGAGTTGAAGTCCATGAGTCATAAAAAAGCCAAGGTTGCCCACCCTGGCCTATACCAAACAACTACACTGCTTCCTTTTCAAAACTGGGCAGCTTTTTAAGTCATCTTAAAATCCCAGTGGTGGGATTCAGCTGGTTCGCACCAGTTCAGCAGAACTGGTAGCTAATTTTTGGTTGCCCAGGCCCAGAATGGACTTCCAGAAGTGACATCCACACAGAGAACTGGTTGTTCACATATCTGAATCCCATCACTGATCTTATCTCCTGCCAGCAAGCTGTTCCAATTAAACAGCACATCATAATTTTAACTCACTAGATACCCATTACTGAATTGGACAGATTATGTGAATATTACTCTTCAAATCCCTGCTGTGTTAAAAACTTAATTTCTGAAAAAGTTAAGAATGACATTAAATGAAAACTTACACATTCAACAACCTCTTTCAATGTCTTCAGGAAGGATGAATGACATCAGCAATAGCATAACATCATAATTCTTGGAAAAATTTGTTTGTACTTTTAAACTTTGTTATTTAATAACTATAATTTCACAATTCATCATTCTTTCAAAGAAGCTCATTATGAAGTATTGTGCAAGCTTGTAATTTCGCTAAACTTTAATTGTTTTTCCTATCAGTCATCATTACCAAATGCATCTTTGTGTACTTTTAATGTTCTTTAGTTGACACTTTCAATCCCCCATGAAGAGTTGGAGAGCAGTCCCTGTTCTCTCCTACCAGGCTGAAGATGCAAATAAAGCAATACTCTCCTTGCTTACAATACAACTATTGATATCATAAAGTCTAATTTGCCTACAATTGTTTTCT